GAGTATGGACAGTCCCACTGAATCCTGAAAATGTTTGCAGACTGTAAGATCTCTACATATTAGACAGACAATATGGGTGAGACGAGAGTATCTTTTACTGGATAAGCTTCTGTTGGAGAGAGAGAAGCTTTCAAGCTTACAGAGTTCTTCTCTTTGTAAACTTAAAAGCTCATCTCTGTCACCAATAGAAGCTGGTCCAGTAAAAGATATTACCTCACCCACCTTGTCTCTCTAAATCCAGAGACCAACATGGCTACAACACTGCATACAGATCTCTGGATAGACAGAGTCCTCCCCAGACAGGTCACTTAGTTCAGACTCTTGTCTCCAAGACAATTCTTCCTCTACAGCTGGCTCCAGACAGGGGAATGATTCTTCCTTTCCTCCTTCTGCACCCCATCTGATGGTAAGGAAAAACAAAACAATATTTTGTGATGTTGCAAGCAGCTCGTCCAGGCTTTACTTGAGGGGTGCCAGGCTGCTGTGTTGGTGCTACTGTGGGTTAAATACCACCAAGCAGTTATATTGCAGTTTACCACCAGATATTTCAAAGCACATAAAGGTTCAGCATGCCATGTGCCAGCAGTGTGCTAGAATTGCTGATTGTATTAGGCTTTCACCCAAAGCTTCTCCAATTTCTCCCTCCTTAGCTCTCTCCTATGGCCCCCACCCTCTTCTCTCTCAATCTGCCAAGATTAAAGGGTCTTTGTGTTCTGCTGTTGAGGCAAATGCAAAGAGAAACCATTATTTGTATGCATGCTTCTTGCACTATTCCAGATTAAGAATATTAATAGATGTGAGTGTAGGCCATTGCTTGCCTGCGTCTGTTGGATCAGTAGTGGAGGAGCCAAACTATTTCTTCCTACAGAATTTCTTCCTCTCTCCCTTTTGCATACTTTATGGCAGGTAATATGTTCAACCTAAATTATTGCAGTGCTCCTCTAAATGAAAACATTGTATATAGTGAGGAGTATCTATGTGCCAAGTCCCTTTAATGAACTGCATTTCCTTGGGCCACTTCCCCATAGCTCATCTTAATTGAGTCCTAGCAGCCTGCCAGAAGCTATCCCCTCACTTTCCTGGTCCCTGTTAGCAACTACCTGCCTTAGCTCTTTCAGCCAGCCAGAAGCACCTCTTCCTCTTCTAGTCCCTGCAAGTAGACTGAACTCACCTTAGCCCTGCAGCTCCTTTTATATGAGCCTGCTGGTACCTCATTGGCTGCTCCCTGCAGACTCTCTGATTGGCTGCTTCCCCTGCAGCCACTCTAGCCCACTGAGAGGACTTCTCCACTGCTCCTTTCCTGGCCTGGGTGTGGCAGGATCCTGAGGCCTCCAGCAAGAGGCCTTTGGGCCTAGTCCACCCCATCACAGGGACCCTTACTTAAACTAATATCTTATTCCAGGAAATCAATATGACTGCTCATGAAGTAAGATACTACTAAGTGGGAATGTGTCGCAATCTGCCTGACAATGATTTGGAGTTTAGAATCTATTTTTTTTCAAATGTCAGACTGTGGATTTAAAAAGCATAATATAGCCCCACATTTGGGCTGGGGCTAAAGAATGGGCCACACAAGAATATGCATGGTGACAAAGTTCTTTCATAGAACCTCCTGGACTCCAGGTCCAATATTTAAGATGTGTTTAACTGGAAATTATTGTTGCTTGAAATGTGTAAGGTGTGCTAGTGAGCTAACCAAGATCATAAGAATTTGTCCATAGATTACAATATTCTGTAATGAAATAGTAAATGTAATCAGGAATATTTGGGAAGTCCAGCCTATCAGAACGGGCACAGATCTTTCTGATATGACTAAGGGAGTAATATTTAACAATGGATGACAATATCTTTTTCTTGCATCAAGATACTATTTTTTTTCACACAGATGGAGAACTGATGTGATGACACCAAGGGAGAGAGTTTGAGGTACTATATCAAATGGAGAAACAAACAGACACAAAACAATCACAACAAGGTGCCTTCATAATGATATTGCATGGCAACAAGTGGTGATGTCACAATGGCACATCATCATGTTGTAAGGGCCAGAATGTCTTCCTGTGATTATTTTACGGCTCTTTTTTATTCCATTTGAAGACAAAGAGGTTTTTGTAGCTCTTCAATTTTGAGTAGCACCGTGATAGAGAAAACCACTTCAGGTGAATAAGTAACAAGGCTAAGCTGAAAACAATGGGAACAATCTCTTGCAGATGAACTGTAGGCAGAAGCAGAAGGACTGAGCCTGTAGTTGTTGGCCATACATGTAATATTTTCCTTTCTAATAAAATCAAGGGACTAAATCACTTCAAGTGGTAGAAGTTGTACATGAGACTAAAGGTCTAGTGGAATTGGGAGAGGTAGAGTGAGAGGTCCTATTGAATGGTGTATAGTAGGTATGTTGGGTCCTAAGAGGTACTTGTAGGTTCATAACCCCATATTCCCTTGTTCCCTTATGCCTATATTTATGATTAAGGATGGTTCAGTGGTTAGGGCAGTAGCCTGAGGCTTAGGAATCCAGGTTTAGTTCCCTGCTCTGTCACAGGCTGACTGTGGGCAAATCATTTAGTCTCTCTGTGCCACAATTCCCTGTCTGAAAATGGGAATCATAGCACTTCCCTACCTCACAGGGGTGTTGTGAGGATAAATACATTAACGATTGTGAGGTGCTCAGATACTATGGCAATGGGAGCCTGTGATGGGGTGTTCATCCCACACTAGCCTAGAAGGTGCTAATGAGTCTGAGAAGGGGCCAATTAAGCAGATAAGGTACACTTGAGGGGAATTAGGTGGCCTAAGTAACCCCTGATTGATGATGGAGGCCAGATGAGAAGGAACAGGTGTGAGTAGTATAAAGCCAGGAAGTTTGCAGCAGAAAAGGGCTACACTGTAGAATCCTCCAGCTATTCCCTGAGCAGTGGAGAGGGAAAGGAGGAAACAAATGGGGAGAATAGAAATGCAGGGGATCCAGACTCTGAAGGAAGAGTTTACCCCAAAGGGAAATAGAGCAGAAGCCTGAGAGAGCTGGAAAGAGAAATGGCAGCAAGGTAGGAGGTTATAGACCTCGGCTGCTGATTA